TATAATTCGCTTGATTTTGTCCAATTGGTCGATATAGCAGTTGGTGTCGGGCACCACATACCGGGGCTGTATCACAATCCTCGACGGTTTACTTTGATTCTCTTCGTTCAGTACAGCCTATAATTTGGGGATTAAATCATTTTAAACTGCAATTTACAAGCGTTTTGTCTGCCGACGGACAGCACCCGACACTTACGTCAACCGTTTGTTTCATAATTTCCTGCCTGTCTTTGGCTTTTTTCAGTTTCTCCTGAAGTGACCACAACTTCTCGATCTCCATCTGTTCCGGAGTTTTATCGCTCGACTCATTGGCGCCGATATTCACCGTATTGTTGGTCTCTTCGGACGACAATTCAAACGAGAATTCGTCGGTTTCCGTCTCAGACTATACGACGAGAGAGCGATTGCGAGAGAAATAAAACAAAAACAAAAATATAATTATCAGTAAAACAGGTTTAATATTTACTCAACAGCTAACCCAAATGTTATAGATTTAGCAACTAGACAAACCGCTAGCTCGCCAGCCTGCTGAGCAGCCAGCCGCATTAGCTATGCCCTTACTCACTTTGCTTTGCGAACATTTCCACGTCGTATTTCAGGTACGGGTCGACGATTCCGCACAAGTAGTCACCGAAATACTGGATTGCCGTCAGTCGGAGACAAGTTCTGGCCTTTTCCTACACAACAAAACACTAATTAATACCAATCAAACAAAAAACTAGTGGCAAAACAAGCGATCAATACTTTATCATTCAAACCAACGCGCTTAACCTGCGTAACGCCACTGGGCTCGTCGCCGTCTTTCGGCCGGTTGCGGCACAGGAGGCCGTCTTACTACCGGAGTGTCGGGAGGTCAGCCGACGGTTTGTCAAAGTGACACCGCACATTGATTTTGGTCAATAGCGTCAAAAACTTGGCGAATAGAGTCCAGATATCGCCCTCTTCTCGGATACTGTTCATTAAGACATTCGTTGAGTTCATTATAAACACAATTAAATGATATAATCAATCAATTACTCGATCTTAAAGTCAGAGGACGGCGGCGGTGGACACCAGAGCTGCTTCTGGCAGGACATCCAATCGGTCCATAGCTTAATGGTAGGCAACAATTCGGCCAAATCGTCGCCAATGGTGTCCCGACTGGTCTCCGACTGTGTCTGCGCTTTCAATGAGTTTATGGCGCACTCGAGTATTAACGACATCATTGCGAGCGTCACTTGAATGGCCTGTTCCTGAAGAAGGGAACGGCAATTCTGGCCAAACGTTGTGTCTAATCATAGCACACATGGAGAATATACGGTTACAAATGGTCATAGAATCGCCTTAAAGAACCCATAAATACCTTTGAGTGATGTGTGAAATACTGCAAACATATTAATGGCCAACAGTTGCGACAATCGTTGAGACATTACGGGAATCGGCGACCGGCGAAGAAGCGAATGAAACTCCGCCAACATTTGGTTCACTACCGGCACAAACGATTCCATACTAATTGACCGCAACATTGAAAACAAAATCCGTTGTCATTAAAATCAATTGTCCGCTAAATTAGTTGTTTCAACACAATTATCACATCATGACTGTGAGTGGGCTGAGAACTCTTCTCAAAAGGCACTCACACTTCCTTTGACTCTTGTTTAGAGAACAAATTGACGTTTTGTTTATACCGCAGTTTTTATACCAAAAGTTTTGTTACACAATAATTCTTCGGCTTACGTCCACCGATGAGAGCGAATCCAAATTCTCTTTCGTGGACTCGGTTTCCGATTCAAAGAGTTCGAATATTAACCGTTTTTGTCGACTTCACGGCAGGCGAGCCTAGGTTTAGAGCTCGGCTAAGAATAGCCGCCGGTTTGAGAGGTTGAGAAGCGCGGCAAACGCCGCTAACCGGAGGTTCAGAACCAAGCGTTTCCTTTCGTTTAATTCGTACTAAAAAAAGCCGTCAAATAATACGATAAATAAAATTATGTTTTAAACAATAAACAAATAAAAGCTGAGCTAACCTTTCGGCGGCACTCATCAAAAATGGTCAACAGATTCTCTCTGGCCGTCAAAAATGGATTACTGGCGGCCAGACTTCGCATATAATAATACACGGCGTCTAACCGGCGGTTCTGATACATAGCCAACAGTGCCAACTGATTATAGCTGCGGCCGTTCTTCGGCGCCAACATCTGTGCCCTTAAGTAAAAGCTGTCGACAGAAACAAATACAAAGGGAGTGAGAGATCATTGGTTTAAAACAAACAAACAATAAATTCATTGAAATACTGTTGTTTACCGTATGTTAAACGAAAATTGTTTGCAGCTCAAGAACCAGAGCGTGAGCGCTATGGCCCTCTCCAGTGGGTTTATCTCCATATAGAAAACCCGGCTTTACCTGTGGTTAAAGTTGCACTCGTAGTTCTCGGCGTCGGAGTCGTACTCGTGGGCCAACAGCTTCTCGATCACAAAGCCGTACGTCTCTTGCATTTTGACCAATAGGTTCTCGAAGAATAGCGACGCCTCGTCGATGATCTTATGCAACGACGTCTTGAGGTCCGCCTGTTGTTGTACAAGCGTTTCGTTTCACTCATTCCCGTATCGATTACGCCGACCGACGAGTCGTCCGACCGCTCGATCGCCAAACAGATCAACGATTTAGATATTGTAAACCCAATCGACAACTCATTTATAATTTGTTGTTTTATTGATAATTATATTTTTGTTTTATTTCTCTCGCAATCGCTCTCTCGTGGGATAGTCTGAGACGGAAACCGACGAATTCTCGTTTGAATTGTCGTCCGAAGAGACCAACAATACGGTGAATATCGGCGCCAATGAGTCGAGCGATAAAACCCCTGAACAGATGGAGATCGAGAAGTTGTGGTCACTTCAGGAGAAACTGAAAAAAGCCAAAGACAGGCAGGAAATCATGAAACAAACGGTTGACGTAAGTGTCGGGTGCTGTCAGTCGGCAGACAAAACGCTTGTAAATTGCAGTTTAAAATGATTTACTCCGGTTTAATATCCGACATGACTTGCTTCTCTTAGTTTCATTTGGCAGCTCCTAACACTATGTCGGGGCCATACACCACGGGCTGTGGTTGACGATATAGCTGGTTAACCTGTTTTAGTTCGCTTAATATCATTCAAAATACTACGAACTCATTGTTCCGCTCATCGGTGCGTATCTTGGGATCAGTCTTTTGCCCCGAGATTTAGTGGACAACTAATAATGAATTGTTTTGTATTGTTTTAGTGATGAATGAATTGAATGGTTTGAAGACTCGCGGCATTCAGACGACCAAACCGTTGACGTTCACCGACGACCACATCGGGAATGTGGGCAAAGCGGCGATGGAGGCCATCGACTATCTGGTCTCTTAGTGATGAATGAGTTGAATGGTTTGAAGACTCGCGGCATTCAGACGACCAAACCGTTGACGTTCACCGACGACCACATCGGGAATGTGGGCAAAGCGGCGATGGAGGCCATCGACTATCTGGTCTCTGCCTTCAACGACAAGAGTCTGAAGTTAAAGGCCATCACATCGAAGGGATCTCTTCTGGAATCGATTAATTTCATCAGCGAATCCATTACTGATACACAGGTTTGTGCGGACACAACCGATTGTGCGCCCCATTAATGAGATGATAATCGCATTAATCTTCATATTGTCTTCAATTCTTAGGGCAATTCAAACGACGACTTCATTCTCAGCGCATGTTTTCATTTTATTAAAGACGAACCCAAAGACAAGGCAACCAAAGAGAGTGCTATGAATTCAAGTATTGATTCGTTTCTTAGCCATAATTTTTTTTTGAACATTTTATATATTTTTAAACTAATTTTGTATTTGTTTTTTCAATTGACAGACGAGTCGAACAGTATATTCCGTGAAGTGGTTCTCCTGACCGACGACCGGAACCTACGGGTGAAGGCGTTGGGCCGTAACGTTCCGGTCAGGGGTTTACAGCATTTCGTGAAGTGGGCGGCCATTCGGCCGGCGGTCGACCCGAAGCGACCCAAACAACACTAATTTCAATTATGATTCAATTCAAGAGTTAAATCTGTGGCAAAACAAACGCCCGACTCGTGTCGTCACTCTCAGAATCGACAACAGTATTGCCAACAAATGATTAAACACTGGATTTGAGTTAAGATAACTGTAAACACTTAAAACTTGACCCAAAGTTATTATTATTATGATTATTGTCTTACAAATTATTGTTACCAAAAAAATAATAGTGGAAATCGTGTTTTCAATTCGCTATTTGCTATTAATTATTACTATTATATACTAACTATTATTATTATTAGTTGATTGTCTGTTGAATACTATCACAATTACGGCTAGAATTGTATAACATTTAGATATACTCTCACACTGTGTTTATACATATAAAACCGACAATTAATATAATCGTGTCTTAAAACTTGCAAAACAACAATTCATTATCAATTTGTATGTAAAATGTGTTTAAATTCTTATGAATTGTTTTGTTTTTTATTAATTAATTATTTGTTTTAAATTTTCAAATTCAATGTTTTTTTGTTGAATTTCTTGTTGCCATCACTTCTTCTTTTTATAGTCTATTTGAGAACTGAATCAATGATTTGATTGATTATATTAATTGATCGCTAATTTGTTTTTGTAATTATATTTTACGTAACTTTAGATAACTATTTATTTTACAAACAATTAATACTAAAACTAAATCATCACTCGATTTGCAATGAATTCTTAATTATTATAAGATTACGATTGTATCGCTTCTTACTGTTTGAATATTTAATAAATAAATAGTAAAACTTTTATTTACAAAAACTATAAAACGTGATAATTAATTGTCAATTCTTACCTTAATTAATATAGAAAATAATCTAGGTAATTTGTTAGTACAGTCATTATTGATACATTTATTTACTTCATGGTCAAATAAAATACTTCTCTATAAATATGTATAAATTAAAATCTCTATAAATTAATTATAAAATCACTTATAAATACAATTAAAAACTCTATAAATATATACAAAATACATATAAAATGCAAATACAATATAAGGTTTAGATTAGATTCCATTTGCGACTGTCATCGGAGTTACACAAAGACATTATCACATAA